GTATTCTTGGCTGCACATTTTTCTCGCTTAGTGCTCTGAATATATCATGCCAGCTCTTTCTGGCCTGCCAGGTCTCTGTGGATAAGTCTGCTGCCAATCTAATATTTCTACCATTGTAGGTTACGGACCTCTTGTCCCAAGCTGCTTTCAGGAGTTTCTCTTTATCTCTGAGACTTTTAAGTTTTACTCTTAGATGACGGGGTGTTGACCTATTTTTATTGATTTTGAGGCAGGTTCTCTGTGCCTCCTGGGTTTTGATGGCTGTTTCCTTCCCCAGTTAGGGCAGTTCTCTGCTATAATTTGCTCCAATATACCTTCTGCCCCTCTCTCTTCATTCTTCTTCTGGGATCCCAATTATTCTACTATTGTTTTGTCTTGTGGTATCATTTATCTATCAAATTCTCCTCTCCTAGTCCAGTAGTTGTTTGTTTCTCTTTTGCTCAGCTTCTTTATTCTCCATCATTTGGTCTTCTCTATCACTAATTCTCTCTTCTGCCTCATTTATCCTAGGTAAGGGCCTCCATTTTTTAATTGTACCTCATTAATAGCTTTTTTGATTTCAGCTTGGTTAGATTTTAGTTCTTTTATTTCTCCAGAAAGGGATTCTCTACTATCTTCTACCTTTCTACTATCTTTCTCAAGCCCAGTTAGCATCTTTATAATCAACATTCTAAACTCTGGTTCTGACACTTACTAATGTCCATATTGATTAGGTCTCTAGCAGTCGGTACTGCCTCATATTCTTTTTTGAAGTGAGTTTTTCCGCCTTCTCATTTTGTGCAGAAAAGGACAGATGAATGAGAGAACAAAATCCTAAAAGGGCAACAACACTACTTTTTCAATGAAACATTCCATTGTTTTTTTTTTTTAAATTTTATTTAAATTCTAGTTAGTTAACATACAGTGTAACATTGGTTTCAGAAGTAGAATTCAGTGATTTATCATTTATATACAACACCCAGTGCTCATCACAAGTTTCCTCTTAATACCCATCACCCGTCTAGCTCATCCCCTATGCACCTCCCACCCTCCTCCCTCAGTTTGCTCTCTATTGTTAAGACTCTCCTATGGTTTGTTCCCTCTCTCTCTTTTTTCCCCTCTCATATGTTTCATCTGTTTTTTTTTCTTAAATTCCACATATAAGTGAAATCATATGGTATTTGTCTTTCTCTATTTAGCTTAGCATAATACTCTAGCTCCATCCACATCATTACAAATGGCAAGATTTCATTCTTTTTGATGGCTGAGTAATATTCCATTATAGATATAGATATAGATATAAATATATAGATTATATATATATGAAAGGATAAAGATGAATGGATGAATATAAAGATGAATATAAAAGATTAAATATATAAAAGATGAAAATAAAAAGATGAATGGGGAAAAGATGAATGGATGAATATATATATATATATATATATAAAGATGAATGGCTAAAGAGAATGTTGCATCCTCTTTAGCCATTCACCTTTTTTTTTTTAAAGTTAAATTTTATTTAACATACAGTGCAATATCAGTTTCTGGAGTGGAGATCAGTGGTTCATCACTTATATACAGCACCCAGTGCTCATCACAAGTGTTCTCCTTAATACCCATCACCCAACTAGCCAACCCCTACCCACCTTCCTCCATCAACCCTTTTTTTTCTCCATCATTAAGAGTCTCTTATGGTTTGTTTCTCTCTCTCCTTTTTTTCTTTTCCCCCTTCCCGTATGTTCATCCATTTTCTTTCTTAAATTTCACATGTGAGTGAGGTCATTTGATATTTGTCTTCCTCTGACTGACTTACTTCACTTAGCATAATGTACTCTAACTCCATTCGTGTCATTGCAAATGGCAAGATTTCAATTTTTTGAAGCCTAAATGATATTCCATTGTATAGAAATACTGACTCTGCTTTATCCATTCATTAGTCAATCATACCACTGCTCCATTGCTCTTAGCTGGACTTTTTTTTTTTTTTTTTTTTTGCTTTGAACCCTTGCATGATTCTACTTCATTAATACTTATATAGATAATTCTTACTATGTCTTATTTTATATAATTTGGACACTTATTTTATCTTCCTATCTCGAATTTTAAAAAGCCATCTGAGGCCAGTCAGGGACTCTAACTTACTCAAATCTTTGTATTGCTGGTAACACCCAAAGAGTAAAATAATAGGCACTTAATAATTATTTGAAGAGTTGAACAGAAGCACTTGACACTCATAAATGCATAAAGTTACTTTATTTTAAGTATACATTTAATTTTGAAAAATATAAATGCTAAAATATCTCATCTTCTTCATCTCTTAATTCCATAAAAGTCACAATAGAAAGCTTCATAAAACTGTAAAATACTATAATGTTATAGGAATTTTAGGTTTTATATTGGAAAAAAATCATTAGTAATATATTGAAATGTTTTCTGTTCTTTATCATTTTGTTCCACCATGTTGATCTACTTCATTTAAAATAAAAAGATGCATCATTTCTCCAAAGTTAATAAAGACTTAAGAGAATAAAAATAAGAATATCTGAAAGTGCGTATTGATTCTGAAAAGTAAGGTGTACAGATATGTACCAGCCATGAAAATGGCTAAAAAGAGGCAACTATTCACTCTTTTCACATTGTAGGACTGGGACAAAGTTAACTTCTGGCTCTAAAAGTTTCACTGGATGACTTTAGCCCTGAGTTGCAATTATCTGCCTGGGAAACAGAATTCAGGATTTTTTAATGTACCCATAGAGCACAGAGAAATGAGCTAAGAAATAGGTCATATCCAAATTTCCGGTCAAAACACAACTTGACTGGTTAGTATATATCATAGAACTTTTTTATTTCAGGCTGCAATGAAGCTCGATGAAATCATCATCTGAAAACTCCCAAGGTCCATTGGTCAGTCAAGTGTTATAAAGTATCATTTGATTGTACTCAGCCGTTTGGTGCCACTGGGCTTTATGTTCATGCTGTGAAGAGTAGATGTGAAATTATCATGGAATAAATAAGAAAATCTCAAGTTCCTGCACCAAAATCATTAAGTGGTAGGAAAAGAATTGAAGAAAGCTTTGTCCCATCCCTGAACAATGTCAACCTCTGTAATACAACTCAAATGGTTTCATTTTGTTTTTAAAGGATAGTCAGCAGTCAATACATTTCAAGTACTTTAACACAGTTTAAAAAAAAAAAAAAAAGAACCAAAAACTCGGAAGACAATTGTTCTCTGTATTAAACAGCAATATATAGCTGATAAAAGATTGACTCTGTGTGTGTTGGTGCATGTGCATAACATATACCCGAACTGAATTACTAAGAGCAGATAATTACTTCATCCTACCCCCCATTTTCTGTGATGGGGTCTGATCAGAGAGGTTTTGTTTTTTATTTTTGTACATCTTGAAGCCTCCATCTCCCACCCCCATTCCACTGCTTGACTGGAAGAAGAGGCAGGAACACTACAGCCTATGGCACAGAAAATAGTTCAGATTCCAAGTCCCTGTCTCACACAGTAGAAAAGAGTGATCTTTATCAAGGAAAACAGTGTCTCCAAGATATTTTTCTTTCAAATGCAAAACCAGAGGCCTTTATGTCCTTTGATAAGGCCAACTCTTGGCCCAGTGATCTCTTCAACAGTACATCTGTACAATCACAGGACTTCTGCTTGATATCCTGGAAGTGTACCCTTAGTCTTATACTCCTAACAACTCAAATATTTTATGTCTCCATATTCACATCAGGAAAAGAAATTCCTCATTGTACTATATTCTGTGTATGCAGTTTACATAGAAATAAAACCATCCCACAGTCTGGTTAGTTCTCGGAAAATGAGTAAATTCAGTTAAGATACAGATGATCTGATGGCTCTGGATGGACTGCGGGTTTTGTTTGCTTATTTGGTAACTACTCTTATTCCTCTGAAAGTAATGATTTTTTAAAAGCTTCCCTGGGTTCCAAAATATTGAAAGGGTTTGCTATTAACTGCTACTTTGAGCAAATGGAAGGTACTGTTCTGCATTCATATCATGAATTTCAACCTTTGGTCACAGAATATAGATCATAAGTGGAGGTGCAGATAGCCTTTAGATCTACTCAAAGGCTGAAATATTGAGTTAAGTTGCTTCAGGAGTTTTTGAAAGAGATGGAGAGAGGCACAAATCCTCAAATACTTGATTCATGATCAGAAAAATAAAGTATTACATCCAGGGCCTTTATAAAAGTGAACAAAAGTGTCTTTAATTTAATGAGATCATAGGTCAGGCTAAACTTATGCATGGCTCTTAGACATTATATTGATGCTTCCCTTGGTAAAGAAAAAGGAAAAGCTTCTTATAATTTTATATTGCAGTAATGAAAAAACTAGATAATATAATCATTTAAAGCATAGCTCTAAATGCAAATCTGATGCCAGAACTTGGCATGTAAGGTTTTAACAAATAACATGTAATTTGCTGTTTCCATTTTAATGAAAAAATTACAGGTCATTTATGTCTAATTTGGATAAAGTTTTAAGATTATCAGGTACTATAAAAGTAAGTGGCAATTCAGGGTAATAAAGTTTTTATAATCAAAATTTTAAGGGGACAGAATTATAATTTAATTAATATGAGAACGAATGGGAGTCACTATGTGCATATTACGAAACCAAAAATACACGGTTTCATCCTGCTTCTGGTACTCCTCCAACAATCTGTTTTAGTTATATATATTTAATTTAGATGGATCACAAATATGATTATATGAGTCCAAAATTATGAATTTAATGTTTAAAGTGTTATTCTTAATGCAGATTCACAATACATAATGTCTATTAAAATATTACATTTAAATTACATGCTAAATTTGGTTAATAAAGTCCTAATTTTCTTTTTTTCTAATTTTCAATATGATACTTTGAAATACATGTACATACACACACATACACACATATTCTAAATGTCCTACTCATGAGGAATAATTGCCTTTCCATTGTAAAAACATGTGCAAGCATTTTAAAATATGTCTGTGTGTGTATGTGTGCAGATCTGTCTGCAGCCCCATAAACACTGTACAGATAAGTAAATTATCTATTAATATTCCAATAGACTTTGTATTATAAATATGAGCTCTTGGATCAATGATGTTATCCAGCAATAAAATTATATTTACCCTCATTTGCATAATAGTAAGTCTCTTAGACCTCTGATGAATTTTTCACATGTGGTTTGGGTTTTATGAAAAATGACAAAAGAGGCTGGATAATTTTGCCCATCCCCTACCTTCACTCTGTCTCCCCAACTTTGCACATATGAGCACCAGCCACACACAGAGTATGTACACAAACACACAAATATTTCAAAATGAAAACAATGTCTAAAAATACTGCATAGGACATTGACATGGTAATACAATCAGCATCTATGCCCGGATATTACTATTATCAAAACGTCAGTTATGCCCATTACATAAGAGCTTCTCCCTTCTCCCCCAATCTCTTCATAGAACAGTAAGTTTCTTTTAAAGAAAGGGAAAAATGGATGCTAAGAAACATGGTGTTTTTAATCTGATCCAGCCCTCTGGCTTACCTTAGAGATTGTGTATTTGTGTGTGTATGTGTGTGTAAAAATCACATTATATACAATACAATTTTTACAGAAAGCCTGGCAGCTACAAATAAGAGGTAGAACTACTCAAAACTATGTTTCCTGCTGCAGGAAAAAATTCATTTTCTTTACAGTAATTAAAAAAAAGTTTAAAAATTTGACAAAAAATAAGTTGCAGGTTAGGCCCCATAATTTAAACAACAAAATCTACGAAGAAAATATTCTTCAATGTACTCAACAGATAAGTTCATTAAAGGGTTAAAAAAAGTTGCATAGGAAAAAGGGATATTCCAGCACTTGCTACAATGATGGCAATAGTTTCTCTACAGGGAGTAAAGTACCTTGAGTTTTTCTTCTTTTGATAACTCTAAGATTAGGGCTGACAAGCAAGAGCAAGTTAGCATATAGCAGCACTTTTTTTCCAGTCCTGGAGAGCTCTAAAAGCAAAGAGGGGCTCTGCCTGGAGGTCAGGGTTTCTTCTACCAGACAGGCACACAAGCCGGTAAGCACAGCTCCAAAGCTAAAGTTGTAAGTTCCTTCAATATTTTAATCAAAGGTGTTACAAAATCCTTAATGCTTTTGCCCTCTGCTTAATAAAGGGAAAGGACAGGGTCTGTGCGTGTCTTGAGTGACAAAGGAATCTGGTTGTCAGAGGACACATCTGAAAATATGAAAAGAAAAGGGGAGTCTTCAGATGTTTTTAAGGAACGGTGAACTATTGTCTTGATTTTACCTATGCAAGAGAGAAGCAGAGTGAGTGCTATATTATTTGGCCAATGACCAAAAACCAAAACAAAACAAAAATTAAAAAATAAACAACTAGACAAAACCCAAGAACATTAACAACAAAAACTGTCCGTTTTAAGAAAGACAAACAGGTTACAATGTAGTTTCTGTTCCCTTGCTCCTCCAGAAATAATCATTGTCTTCAGGCTCAAGTTCTATCCTAATTTGAGGCACAACTTTTACTGGAGTTCTAGGAGGACTAGAGGGAAAAAAAAGAGAGAGAGAAAAGAGAAAAGAAATAGTAAGTAAATCAGATTCCCTTTATCGTCTGTCAAATGTATGTGCATTGTGCAGAAGCGGAACATGTCCTCTGTCCTCTTTACTTATCTACTCTCTCTGTGTTCAAAGTAAACATTTTTAAATGGGATGAAGGTACAAGAGTCAAGAGATTCAAGTAGAAAATTTCATAAACATTCACACCTAGATTAAAAACAAAACAAAAAAAAAAACACAAAAATCAAGAAGGAGGACTGCCAGCTGGGTGATACTGTCAGAAATCAAAAGACAAAGAGACCTACATGAAGAAAATGTTCCAAGCTTTCAAGGAGGATCTGAAATGTCTAGAGCCGTGTTAAGACTGGGGAAGAAAACTACCGGAGAGCTGCCAGAAAATGGCAGTTATCCCTTAAATCAGAGATGATATGAAAATGATAAAAGCAAACATTGGTCCTGGGCTTTACCATAACGATAGTGAACGTTTCCATTACTTCTAAGGATAGTAGGTCTCTTAGAATTCTTCCTACATAAAAGCTGGGGCGAGGTTCGGGGATTGAGTAATTGATTCAAGATAGCTTATGGACAGGAAGGAAAACAAGGCGTTCAGCCAATAATCCGCCATGGACTACATTTCTGTGGGGCAATCATCCCACAGAACAACATAAAACACGGACTTGTCCTTTACCTTGGCATACCGAGTGATTGAAGGAAAGGAATTTTATCAGCATGATGTGTGGCGTTCAAGGAATGTTGGTGATCTTTCTCCTGGAAAAGAAAAATTTCTTTAAATTGTGAACAGTACTCTTTGGTAACGTACAAAATTAGAGTAAAAATAAAAATCTTCGTAAAAACTTATGCATGACAATTGGAAAGAGAAAGGCAAGTTTAGGCAATTTCTTCTTTTTTTTTTTTTTTAAGATTTTATTTATTTGAGAGAGAAAGACCGTGAGAGAGAGTGTGTATGCGTGAGCAGGGGTAGGAGCAGGAGAGAGACAAGCAGACACCACGCAGGGCGTGGAGCTGGGCTTGATCTCACGACCGTGGAATCATGACCTGATCCGAAATCAAGAGTCAGATGCTCAACCAACTGAGCCACACAGGCACCCCTAGACAATTTCAAGAGACATCATATTGAGCTGAGAAACTAAGTTATGTGACCAAGATAACAATCTGTTTATTTCATTTCCCCTAGGTATATGCTGGGATGGACCACTGTTGTTTTCTTCCATGAAGGGGTAGGAGGCCAATCAATTTTAGAGCATCTACTTAATGTCTTAGGTCTTGCCCTTGGATTTCCTTTCATTTTCAGCATCCTCAGTTTTGTCCTGCTGTTATTCATGGGGGAGAAAAAGATTGTGAGGAATTTAATTATCCTGCACCTCTACTATCAATTTTGTTCTTTCATGGATTATAAAAGATTAATACGACATTAGAAATAATTTCAGTTAGAATGATCAAAGATATTTTGCTTAAGTAAATTTCTAATATCATATCCATTTTCCATATATCCTCCTAATGGGTTTTTGAGGGGATGAATAACAACTAGCACTAAATAATCAATTTGCCATAAACTTTTTCCAGGAGCCTCAAGTTCTAGCTGGTGGTGCTTTTTTAAATTTTTTTTTTTATTTTTGAAGCAGTCTTTAAACTGTACTTAGAAGAGCTATACCAGGTCATGATGCCAACAGAAGACATATGTGCCATGTCCCTTTCTCAGTTTCATTTTGCTATTAATGCTCTAGCATTAATAACATGAAAAATGAAGCCAGGATATGGTTTGAGGAGCTTGAATTCAGAAAAGAAATATTAACTAAATCCCGTGGATAGGGCTGAAAAGAAATTAGCCTCAGTTACAAGTTATGGGTTTATGGCCTGAAACACCAAAGCTGAGACTCTTTAAACCCAGTGTGGCAGCCAGCCTCCAGGATGACCCCGCTGCCCCCTGGTCTTCCTGGTATTCATGTCCTTGTGTAATTCCTCCCTACACTGTACCAGGGTTGGTCTGTGTGGGACCAACAGAACATGGTAGAAGGGATGGCAGGTCACTTCTGAGATTCAGTTATCGAAGAGTGCAGTTTCTGTCTTGGTTTTTCTCTCTGCTCTCACTGGCACTGGGGGTAACTACATGAAGGGCAGCCCCACGGAGGTGCCCATGGGCCACGGAACTGAAACTTCCTCCCACTTGCCTTCCACCTAAGCTTAGAAGCAGATCCCAGTTCCTGTTGTCGTCAAGCTTGGCCCCAGCCGAAAGCTTGTCTGCAATCTCACCAGAGGCCTGGAGACAGAACCACCTAAATCCTCTGCTCCTACATTCCTGAATGTCAGGAACTATGTAAGAAAGTACTTGTTTGTTGTTCTAAGCTGCTAAATTTTGTGGTAATTTGTTCCATAGCAACAGATAACTAATATACCTATTTTTCATAAACAGTCATTCATTTCCAACTTCTCGTGGTAACCTCTTACTGAAGTTGCAGTGGAATTGCCAAATGAAAATAAAAGTGTCTCAACTCTCTTTTTTCCCCATATCAGTAGACTTCGAAGGGCATCTGGGTCTAAAAGAAGGTATTTTCTTCAAGTGAGAACCCAAAGTGAAAGTAGTTTGGAAGCAATTGCTATGGGCTCCTAGAAAAGCTTGAGATATTCACTAATGTTACTATGAGGGTTTTCCGCTTTTTCACGTGGCCTGTTACCTCAATTACAGAAGAAAAGATGGTATGTCAGAAACCATTACACTTCAGTCACTAAGCTATTACCCCAAAAGACCAGTCCACTTGAAAGGGTGTTTCTGAAATAGCAGAAAAGGAATAAGGAAATTAGGAAGAAACTGCATATATCTTATAAGTGACACCTAAAACGTTGTATTAATATTTTATGATCGATTGCTAATTTAATTGAAAATAACAATTATCCCAAATGCTCAGTAGGAACAACTGATTCAATGGTCATTTAGAGACTCATGATGCAATTTTCTCTCTTGAGCTCATTTGGTCATTGGCTAAAGCCTAAGGAAGACAAACAGTAACAGACAGTGATGTAGTACTGTAAGCTGCAATTCTACATATCAGCAGGAAAAACGAAAAATCAATTAAAAACATGGTTACAAGTTTAGCAATTGAAAGAAACTGGTGATAACTTGGATCAGAGCAAAAAGCTACCAAACAAAAACTTAAAAGGTTATGGATAAAAGGAAGAAAAGTGAGGCTCAAGGAATGTAAAAATGAAGTTTTATAGTAATTACGTGGAAATCTTCACATAGAAAAAAAAAACAGAAAAGAAAATAGAGGGAAAGTTAATGTAAATGATAATTCTAAGGTTTTCTCTTTGCAAGCGCAAATCATATTTGAGCAGACAGGCAAGAGGTTAGTTCTACTCACTGTCGGAAGGTTTGCTATCGCTTAGGAAAGGTTGCTGTTCCATGATGTCCATTGGAATTTTAATACTTGGAACTTTTTCTGAGTATGGGCAGTCAGACTGTGAAGGAAATTTACAACAGTTTTTAGAGCGTTTTTACTATACAGCCCTCCCTATCTCCCAGTATTGATCAAACCTGCCATATAGCATTTACATCGTCTAAGGGGAAAAGACTTTGATATGATCATTTTTACTTGCAAACTTTTCAAATTCTACACAATTTTCTTCACGTTTGCTTTCCTCTCTTCTGAGTTAATGGGATAAAGTCAATTAAAACTAGAACCACACCAAAAAGGGATCACTACAAATTAAAACAATTTTAAAGTTTTCCAATAAGCTGGATTCACAATCAGCAAATACTGATGGCTTTGTTGTAGGGTAAAGTAACTAATCTCAACGTGAAAGATTAAATTTAGGAAACACCCTCAACTAGAACATGGTCTTGAAATTTTTGTTTTGTTTATGCTTTCTGATTCCGCGTCCAAGACTTTCCTCCCAAGACAGGTAGAAGACCAACATTCACTATCAAGGAAGCCCGATATAGAGTTGAAAATGAACCTCTCCCTCCTACTCTAATAATCCATCAAAACTATTTTTGAGTCAAATGTTCATTTTAATTTGCTTATACCAAAAATATTTGAAAGCTTATCAAAATATGAGAAAAGAAAAGGAAAGTACTTATGATCATCAGGTAAATCACAACCAAAATAAAATGATAAAAGCGGGCAGCTGTTCATGGGACTATTTGAAAAAACAGGTCACCAAAGCCAAAACTATAACAGATTTTCACAGGATTGCCACCTTCCTTTTTTAAAGAATTCATTATATTGAATACAACTCTATGTTTGGACCGAAAAGATCAAATCCATCCCTTAACTGGAAGTACCAAAGAGATGCCCATTAGCAGAAATATTGGGAGGGGGGAAAAAAAGAACCAGAGGTCGAAGAAAATAAAGAAAAAATAAACCTTTGTAGACTACTACATACATTGAAAATTCCTTTAAGGTGAATATAAAGAGGGTAATAAGCCACAATATGATTTTAAAGGACTAAGATATTACACTTAAATTGACAAAAAAAAAAAAAAAATGAAGATGCCACATGCATGTACCTTTATGAGAATGTCAGGAAAGACAAGTTTTAATCACAGTATTTCAAATGTTTCCCCCAGTACTAGCATTTATAGATGAACAGATTGGAAGGTGACCCTTAATCATAGCTACCAGCCAGATCCAAAAATGACGGAGTGGCTTAAAATATTGGCAAGCCATAATTTTCATGAAAGTTCTACTCATGAAAGTTCTGTAACCGCCATGCCCCTGTGTGGCTCTCTTTATCCATGGACCCCAGCACCCCTGATTACCAGGTGAACACTAGGAGAGCCCCAAATAATGAGCTCAGAGAACTTATTACACACATGTACTCTAAATTGCCTGGGTGAGTTCACTAGGACAAATATATACACTTGTTGTTTTCTGGCAGGGACTGGGGGTAGAAGAGAAAGAGGAAAAGAAAAGGAACAAGTATCACACATTATCTTCAAGAAATCTGTTGGAAATACAGAGCTGGAAATGAGAAATATCATTAACAACATAATAGAACTGTTTAAATAAAATACAATTTACTGGAAACTGAAACAAAGAATTAGAAGAACTCAGGAGCTCATCTAATCCAACTTTTAACACCAGAGAACACAAATTTAAAACATCTCGAAAGTTGATATTTTATTTTTTTCTTAAAAACTATTAGAGATGATGATTCTATTATACCAGTTCATATGCTAGTAATATGTAGTAAATTTTAAGTTTGGTAGCCGTGTACATACACTGGCATATTTGTTTTGAAAATTCAAGATGAAATATTACTTTAATTATGTCAGTATTTCAGGCATTCCTTTTTTCTGTCTTGAGTGGTCTAGAAATTAATTTCAAATTCTGATTTCTATTCAATGTGTAAACACATCCTTCTTTTTAACACCGCACCCTAATCTGTACTGCAATTTAAATGCAATCTCTTTTACCATCATCACTGGAAACAGAAAATCTATACACCTGTTCTCACTGAAGATGGATGGTGACAGTCACAAAAGCTCCCTTGGACTCTTTTTCTCTTCAGCTAAATGGGCCTCATATATTTAGCCTTTTTTTATTGGATCAATTTATCTGAAATCCAATTTTGTCTGTTGCCTTCCTTCACTGTACTATTTCTAAATTCTCCACAAAGAATACAATCAGACAGCCTGACCAGCTGGAAATAACTAGACAGGCCTGGATTGGAGTTTTGGCTTTGCCACTACGACTGCGTGCACTTAGAAAAATGACTTCACATTTCTCAGTCTAAATTTTCTCCTGTAAAATAGGAACAAAATCAGATACTATAAAGAGCTGTTACGGCAAGTCAGGACAAGTATGCACGATCAATCAAAACGATCACGTACGATACCAAAACTTAACTCTACTCCCACTTTAGAACTGTACACCAGGATGCAATTGGAATGGGGATACCGCGCTGCGTGAAATCAGAACCAGTCTGCACACGGAAAGTGTCGTTGTGGCGGTCCTTTCAGAAGGCTACTGGAATAATTGTATGTGTTCGAGTGTGTCTGTGTGTGTGTGTGTGTGTGAAATAATCCCAGCTGTTCTCCTAGTACTGATTACAGACCCCTATTGGAGCACCTGTGAAATGGTTTCCTCGAGGCAAAAAAAAGGGGTCAATAATTTTATTTCTCAGTTTAACCACCCAATTGCAGGAGGATGGTCTCATCTGGACTACAAATTACCTACTATAATTATGTAGAAAGACCCTAAGCTCCAATTCCCTTTGTTTTTCATTGAGGGGTTACAGAGAGTTGATCTTAAATCATGTTGAAGCTCAGTGCGAGGAGGAGTACAATAGAAGAGAACCGTGGGGGGCACCTGGGTGGCTCAGTGGGTTAATGCCTCTGCCTTCAGCTCAGGTCATGATCCCAGGGTCCTGGGATCGAGCCCCACGTCGGGCTCTCTGCTCTGCAGGGAGCCTGCTTCCTCCTCTCTCTCTCTCTCTGCCTGCCTCTCTGCCTACTTGTGATCTCTGTCTGTCAAATGAATAAATAAAATCTTAAAAAAAAAATTAAAAAAATTAAAAAAAAAAAAAGAAGAGAACCGTGGCTGAGAGCCCATGCAAGCGGACGCACCACCGGAGCTGAGGTCACAGGTGTTTGTCCACATTAGGCTTGAAATTACATAAAACTGAGTTATTAATTCATATTTAAATCTGGATCATCAAGAGCAAAACAAATACATTTTAGAGCATTATGAAGCAAATTTCCTTTCTATCTATGAGATGGGAGACTGGAGTTCTTTAGATGTGGTGAGGTTTTCTTTGGAAGTCATTTCATCACTATTTGTGTATTAATGGCTACAGAAGGACTTCAGAAAATATACAAAACTAAGAAAAGAAAATAAAGGGCAAAGGAAAGTGAAGACTGATATGTAACACAGCCAGGTGAACATTCTTGGAATTCAGCCATATATCTCACATAAAGGATTTTTATACACACACACACACACACACACACACACACGTGTGTATATATATATATGATATATATATATCATATATAATATATATACAATTATATATTTCACATATATATGTATGTGTATATATATATGTATATATGTATGTGTATACATATATATTTTTTTTCACATTTATTTCTTTAGCTTTACTTTGGAATTTTGGAAAGTTCCTTACATCATCATTGTCACTGTCCAGACTTCCTTTCTTCTTTTTCTTTTTCTTCTCATCTTCCTTCTTTTTCTTGTCCTTTTCTGGAATGACATCATCGAGGAAGCTGAGGTCATGTTGGGAGAAGAGGTAGTCCATGCCTTTTCTGACAGCTACAAGTGCCAAGATCTGAAAGGATAAATATAGAAAGTACAAAAGAAACCATGTCAGATGAAGTCATGGTGAGCACTGATATTACCCTATCAAAGGCAGTAGAAACCTATCTTGCATAAGGCTAGAATATGATAGAACTCATCTTGCTTATATGGATTTATATTACGTGGACCATAAATGTTTTTTTACAGGGGATGTTGGGTCATAAAAGTCTTGAGTAAAACTTACTTCATTCACTGATGTGTATGATAACATTCACTTAGAATGTCGACACAAAAGGATTATTTTTTTAAATCATTTTCTTCCATATCAGATTTTTAATAAAATGAAAGTTTAAAGAGAAAAAAAAGACTGTATTATGATTTCTAATTATTCAAAATTAAAACATTACATAGATTTTTGAAAACCAAGAAAATCTGTACAACATACAGCATACTACAACATTTTCAAAGTGCTAATAATAGAGGTAATCCTTGAATATGCTCAAACCATTTAATCTATGGGGCAACTTCAATCACTACTATGACCTGAAAACTTACAGTGTGTCTAAGGCTGTGCTAAACTCTTGGGCAGGATTTTCTCATTTATTCCACCACAAACTCAAAAAGTAGATATTATAATCTCCATCTTACAACTGAGGAAACTGAGGCTTGGAGACATAAGTATGTCATCCAAGATGACAAAGCCAGGTAAGGAAAAAATACAACAAAGGGCCCCAGCTGTCTGCCTCTAAGATCAGTGTTCTTAAAATATATGTCTTTGATTCTACGAGTTGCTCTTGAACAGTGACTTCTAAAGGTACATTAAAGATGCCTTTGCTCAAGAGTAAAATCAGCGTGCGCTGGGATATGAAATTCATGACACCGTCTCAGGTTAAACAGTTGTGTTTATCCACGTCACGCTCTACGTCTGTTCCTTCACCTCCTAGGGAAATTAACAACATCTGGCCCACTGATATTACATTATTGATTTGTGATCAAATAAAAGCTCTAGAAAGATTAAAAAATACTCTATAAAGGGAATGCATTTTTTATATTACTTAGCACAAACAGTAAGTGATTTACTGAACATATTTCAAATTTATCCAGGTCTAACTTTGTTTTCCTGTCTTTAGCAAAACTAACAGGTAGACTATACCAATAGTCAAATGGGAGTCATTTGACAAATAGGTCTTTGTTCTTATTATTGTTTTCCAGTGAGCTAATAGAGTTCAAGAAAAAAGGGGGGGTATAAGGGACCATCATGAAAAAATATGACTCTACAAATATCACTAGTATTTTATAGCATTTTTTTCCTGCTTCCTTGGAGAAAAAAAAATCACAAACAAAAAATAGACATAAGATAAAAAATAACCCTGGCTAAGAGTAAGAGGATTTTTATTAAAAAAAAAATAAAATATGTCTGTGAATGAGAATTCTCTTTCCAAAGCTATGGGAGAGACAGATCAGACCTGAGGCTCACTTGGTGACTTGCTTCAAGTATATGCATGTGCATTTTCTTGCAAAAAAATGGAAAATTATGGTAAAGTATAAAATTTAATGATAAAGCCAAATGCAGAGCTAGCATTTTCCTTTTTTCTTTCTTTCACTTTTAATTCCAAGTGCAATGTTAGTTATTTTACCTTGTTTCTCATCAAGTTCATGGCAAGGACTGAGGGACTTACCCTTAAGCTTAGCAAGAACTTCAAAAACTTCACTTTTCACTCCATTTCTTCTAATTCACTGGGACCTCTCTGAAGTTGACAAATTTGTTTTCTTATTATTTAGACTGAAATGTGCTGTACTTGTTATTTAGATTGGTTCTACTGTGCAGTATTTTAAAAATAACTCATGTGCACTGGTGTCTACTGGAGGTCAGGCATCGTGCTATAGACTTAGTGTTTATCATCGTCGCTCAGAACGACAGCACGAGAGCCATGCCCATTTTACTGACAAGTTCATGGCAGCTCATGGAGGTTCCCTGACCAGCAGAAACCAGTGTCAGTATCTGAACTCAGCTGAGTTTGCCAGTAAAGTCCAGTGTAGATGACCACAGATATAGGAACCTTAAATCACACCTGATCAAATCAAAACTATTTGCCAAGCCTGGACAAAAAATGAGAGCCACATGGAAAAGACGGGTGGGTCTTCTCTATGACGACAATGAATGCTATTGCTCTGACTTCATGGGGAGGTTCAGTTAAATGAATCCCTACCATGACTGGAAAGATGATAGCAGCCACGGTGGACTTGAGGATCCAGAGCAGAGCTAGACACAGCACCTGCAGGAAGGTGAACAGGTGGACTCTGCGCAGGGGGACGTGGCGCAGGTAGATAAAGTCTGGCTGGTGCTTTAGGGGCATCAGCAGCAGCTTCAGACGATCCATGAACTGGGGAGGAAAGGAGACAAGGATACAATCGTATTACTTCAAGAGCTGGTATGCAGAGCCATTTCCACAACGCCTACCTAACAACTAGTGATTTATCTATTCTATGATTTTAGGCAAGCAGTGTCCTTTTCAGAGGACTCTGGTCAGGGAATTCAGAAATTCAGTCCAGCACAGTAAGACATGCTAGGGGTTTTCCAATACTGTTCCTCCACAGGACTGCTATGCAGATATAGGAGACAAAGTGGCCACCAAAGAATAAAGTCACAAAGCCAAATATAAATTCTAGATGCTCATCTCTTACTTTCTATTTTTACTATCTGAGTCTCTGGAGAGAGAATCTTGTGACTATTTTTGTCATGAAGGAAGATGTCTCACTCATGTATCTCACTCTGCCTCAGTCACCTTGTCTGAAAGAAGAGGAGCTACTGTGCATGGTAAACATTTCAGGGATGTTTCAAGGGTATAAAGGTAGTATCTAACTTGAAAAGGGGAATGCACTGCTATTTCCATAAATTCCACATTATTTATTGATGGCATAACTTAAATAATAATAGTCAGCGATTCATTACCATTTCTTTTCAAAGAAAAGCCATATGTCTACGATAGTGAGTTTCTGAGGGTCGACAACTAGACATTGGAATCCAGGAGAGGCAGTCAGTGTTGTGCGGAAACAGGTCCTATGCTGGCCGCTGAGCACGTCTGAGACAGGTGCCATGCTTCAGAGATTAACTGCTGAGTCTCCATGGATGATGATAAGAAGGACTATTTTTTGGGACCTATCAGAGGATCTCTCAAATGAAAGATATTCACTAAATAGCTGCTGAATTGAATTATTATGTATTAGGACTCCGACATAGCATCTCTGCTTTCTTTCTGGAGGAAAGGGAGAAGCGTGCAAGTAAACTAGACTATCACAGACGAGCTTCTCGGAAGCTATTTCCTATTAACAAACTTTCTTTCTCTGTCTAGGCCTATTTTTGACCAGAGCGGGCCTTGCTGTTTACAAAGGCTGGGTTACAAAATTTCATTGCTAAGTGAAATCTTACGAAAAGGTCTAAAAGAGGGAGTGTCAAGAGAAAAAGGAAAGAGGGACGACAGCATTGCAGAATTCAGGAATCCACTGGCTGTGCCTTTAGCAAAGGACTTTTTTCCCCAACATTATGAAATTGTTGATTTTTCTTGCCTTCTATTTAATTTAATAAACACGCATTGAGCTCCAACCATTGGTTAAGCATCTAGAACACATAAAAATCAAACTTCTGATCTAGACTGACCTATTTAAGTGCCCCCCCCCCAAAAAAAACCTATTAGTTTGGGACCCATATTAGTTTCATATTTTTCCATTTAGGGGAAAAAAGAATATTTACAAAGCCAGGTAAAAACAAAGTATTTTTTAATATATTTGTACTTTCCCAAAGTTTCATAAGAACAAAAAAAATCTATTCATATCCATCTAGTCCAATCTATGAAGCCCCATCTTGTATTTTGTGACAAATATCCCAATGGTGAAGAACTCTACCCAGAGGGGACCTAAACAAGGGAAAGATAAAACAGCCTTTTCTGCTTTTGGGGGCCTGGCCACCTGCCCAGCTCTATCTGACTCTAAAACCAAATTAATCTAAATTCAATAAATGAAAGCAAGGACTATTATGAAGGGGTTTAAATAAATTCTTATGATGTTCACAGAACATGCAGTCTTTTCCCATTAAAACATTAGTAAGTGCTAAATAAGGCTACAATTAACAAGGTGCCAGAAAGCAGCAGAAGTACTTCCAGTCTCCTGGTGCCAATTAAATTAAACCTCAATTGAAAGACAAAGTCCCTTACAAAGTTTTCCCTAATGATTTTTTTTAAAGGGGGCCAGTTCTACCCAAATTGTGAATAGCTGAAGTTCTGGGCAAGGGTAGCACTAAACCACATTGACTTTACTCTTTTATTGGTGCAAAACTTTTGATCATTGATCTCAGCCATGTGAAAAGTGAATCAAATAATAGCCTGTTCTTAGTATGGTTTCAGGGCAGAGGGATAAACAGTGCCTTGAGAAGCACCCCAAAGAGTTTGATTTCCTTCTTGAGATGAAGGAAGGAAGGAGGGGAGGAAGGAGGGAGGAAGAGAGATCACAGCCCTCTCATTTCCCTAGTTAAATGACCAGTTTTAACAGCTTATTTCAAGAATGGGTACCTGTGGTAACATTTGTTAGCACAAATTAATTTTTTTTAATTAAGCCAGAAGTAAGAAGTAGATGTATGGCAGAGAAAGTAGAAAATAAATGCATTTTATCTATCTACCTATCTATCTATCCATAAATCTTACAGTGCTATACTCTTTTCAGTATATAATGTAATGATTCAACAATTCTATATACTACTCAATGCTCATCATGGTAAGTACATTCTTAATCCCCTTTCTGGATTTCATCCATCCTCCCCCCCCCCCACCTCCCTTCTGGCAACCACCACTTTGTTTACTGTAAATACACACATTCTAAAAACTCAGCAGTTAATGAGTAGCACTTTTCATCAAAGATCTGTTACTGGACTACTCCCACTATTAGAAAAAAACACAACTATCTTTAGATTGCTATGGAAAACTCACCTGCACACCATTAAGGGATGCTACCCCCATATACAGGAACACGCCATAGAGAACAGGCATGGGAATAAACTAGAAAGAAAGAAAAATGGAGAAAGGTTAAAAAAAATAATAAAAACAGTAATGAAGAAGAGTAGTTTAAATAAAGGCCAAATCTGAAACTAAAAGATACGACATAATAATATAGTGAACTCTAATTAGTATATTCATCATTGATAAACTTTTAAACTCTACTAGAAATAAATAGAGGGAGATTTTCAACTTTCATTTGATGCCTGTTGGCATTTTTTTTTAACAATGAGCATGTATAACCTCAGAAATAATTTTTTTTAATGGGGAAAAAAAATTCATTTCCCTTTCCCCTTAAAAGGAATGATTATGTAAACCAGATGTTTGCATGAACTGTGAGATAGAAAGGTAGACGGTAGACGGTTGCTTCACTCCTGAGACCAAGTTCCTTTCCAACAGCCTGTTGATTTTTTCCTTAATAATTTTTGCCAAATCATCTATCAGCTTGGTGTGTAAATGCCTGTTTCAATTAAGCAAACATCAAACGGCTGTCCCCTTTCTTCCTTTCAGGAATATTAAGAGGACTAACTAATGAGAACCCTGCTTGAAAGGAGCATCGAGCATACGGAAGCAATTAATTACACACATGTAGTAATACCCATCTTTAAAAAGTGAATTAATACATTTTTATGCATTAATTAGCAAGAGTCTTTTTACAATAATACAAAGTGTTTTAGCAATGGGAAGTTTCAATTAGATGTTCCTTAAGTTTTATCTGTTCCTAGACCTTTGAAATGTCCTTAGTACTGGAGAAATTAAGCAACTCAAGGTTGATTCTGTTTCTGGGAAGTCTTCTATTTGAACAACAAAAGGTTCTCAAGCTTGAATTTTGAAAAGAAGTTCAAGTAATTTCGGTTTTCAAAAACCACAATCAATTAAGTTCAATCTTACCAAATCTACATAAAGGAGGCTTTGTAGACAGGCAACAGTATGACTTCAGAGTAATTTTTAAAGAACTATAACATGTATTAAATGAAACACAATTTCTATGTCTACCCTGGGAATGACCTAAAACATTCTGTATCTGAGACCCTTTGGCCACTACTGGAAATTAGTAAATTCAAAATATGTCATGACAATCTCCATTGTTTCCAGCTAGCTATAGGAATTATTAAATTTATATGTAATACATATATTTATTTACATAAAACATCCCACGTTCCTCCTAGAAAAAACCAGTAATTGTAACATAGGTAATTTGATCTTGAGCTCAGAAAAAAATAATTGATGTTGACTCTTGAGGGGGTAGGAGGGACAGCAGAAGTGTTGGGGAAGGCATGTGTGCTGTAATACCTCACAATCACCACAAAGAGGTGAGCACATCACATTCAAGCCGCTTGAGCTCTGACACATGCTTTTATTTCCTTATTATTCCCATTCCCCTGTATCAACTGACCAAAAGAATAACCAACAAAGAAACCATTTCACAGCATTCACTCATTTTTTAATTTTTTAAAATATCCTTTGAAAGCAAGGGCTCTCCCACTTTTCTTTAATATATGATGATTCCTCTCATATATCCATTTCATTTCTAATTCCTTGGGAGGGAAAGAAAGGTGGAAGGGGAAAGAGATGCATAGTTCTCTCAGAGAGTTGGCATGTCATTAGAAATCCTGCAGTAGTTACTTTTTGTTTTTAAGATTTTTTATTTATTTATTTGACAGACCACAAGTAGGCAGAGAGGCAGGCAGAGAGAGAGGAGGAAGCGGGCTCCCCGCTGAGCAGAGAGCCCGATGCGGGGCTCGATCCCAGGACCCTGAGATCCTGACCTGAGCCGAAGGCAGAGGCTTAACCCACTGAGCCACCCAGGCGCCCCTGCAGTAGTTACTTTTTAATCTGAGTAAAGTGTTTTTTCTGGCTTGAAAGAAAGTAATCACAAAGGTGATACTGAGAGTTATCTCCACCCCTCCCCTAAGTTTAGCTAAATATTTTCTCTAATGTAGCTCTAGCACAGAGTGAAGGAAAGTTGTACCCTAGTGCTGAAGTCTATTCTGTCTGAATTTATGCCAGATTTCGCCAAATCTACCACAAAATAAAATCAGAAGGTACCATTAACTCAGAATGGGGTACAGGCAAGAAAACAGCTTTAGAGATGGTGATGCTTTTTAAAAAAATATTCTTTGGTGAAAAGGATTATAAGTAAATATTATATGCTTCTCATAAATATTAGAAATGAAAAAGTTAAATGCTTGATCCTAGAATAGAAAAATTAAATTAAGTCAATGAAGATTTAGCATACTCAGATTATGTCACCAAATTTTTCAAATTGTGGTGAATGTAGTTCTTTTTTTACTTAGCCCTCCCTTTGATTTTTGATAGTGTTAGAATATTGCTGTAAGAAAAAAAATGTGAAAGGGTAAATTTAATAAGAAAGGTAGATGGTAGTTGTCCACAGTGCAGAATTCAGGACAGGAGCGAGGCCACCCAGCGGAATAATAGTCACTGTGTGCACGTGCGCGTGTGTCTGACACTCAGAACGAAGTACTGACGAAGGGCATGCAAGTACAGGAAGTTAGACCCGGGTTCCAATTCTGGCTCTACCCATTGTGGAACTGAGAGAACTGTCAACTGCTATCCTCGTATTCTCATCTATAGAGTGGTTATGATAAAGATTATGTAAGATCTAGTTCAGGGACTGGCTCATAATAGATGCTCAAGAAAGGATAAACGTGGTACTGATGTCATTATTAGCATCAAGACCTTCACTGGCAAGTCGAGAAGCCGGCAGCCGCCCAGCACAGCTCCCTCTGGTCCCTCTGCGGCGAGGGTGGGATAGCGGGAGGGAGTACAGGCCACAAAGATGGCCGCAAAGGTCGGACTCGAAACCTCGGTTTTCTATAAGCTCTACAATATTGTCCTTTCAACTATAACGACTGTCTTCAGAAACATGTTATCAAAAAAAATCCTAATGCCCTTAAGCCCTAAAAGTCTGGGACCATAAGGAAGCTGCCGACCTGCAATTTGGTCCTTAGTCTTATGATGACAAAACCACCGAGTGACTTATGATGAAGAGGTTGTGAAAATGCCACATTTCTCTCTACGTAAGAGACCTGGAAATTGGATCAAAGAAACTGGGGAAGATCATCTCCGAGGAAATAAAAGTAAAGGAGCTCTTTGAGGCCAAAACTGTTTTATTTTAAAAGGCAATAAACCGTGATGGTTATGAGATCAGACTCTTGGAGTTAGAACTGCCTGAGTTCAAACCTTGGCTCTGCCATTTAAGAACTTCGGGACTCGGCCAGTTATTTATTTATTTATTTATTTATAAATCTGTAGGATGAATGCAATTATACATACGCTTTTCATAGGTTTTACTGGAGAACGAAATAAAAACAATCTGCGCAGTGCTCTTGGTCCAAGGCCAAGCTCCCAGAGAACGGGAGCCGCTATTACCACTACCCTCCTCCTCACTACCCTCTCTCCTCGTTTCCCTGATACGGAGCAGGGCGTGTGGCACACCGGAGGGGCTCAACGAACGCCTGCCAGGTACAAATTAAATGCTAGCCTCCACATTGTAGAACCCTAAACAAATCCGAAAGACAAATTTCGGCTACACCTCATGTTAAAGATGAACTGCTTCAAGCAAAGACCACAGAAAGGGCAGTGAACTTTACTGGATCTTTATTTCTTTAAGCTTGCCAGAAGCATTGGAAAAGGAAGCTCTAGGAACGGCCTTTCATCTTTTTGCTGCTCTGTGGTGGGCCCCAGCCTCCCCATCCAGAACACGAGCTCAACAGGCAGTATTTCTGCTGCAGAGACACGGATTGAAACTGTAACCAGCCTGGGAAGCCAGTTTTCCCTACTTCCCCACAGCTCTGTACTGGATCCGGGGTGGCATTTGAGGCATGTGTGAGTGCAGCTGGTTGAGGTCATGGGGTATCCTCATGAACTTAAAGCTAATACACTATGACTCCTTACATTTTTTCCATGTAAAAAGAGAGACTCTGGCAAAGAGATCAAAACAGAGGTCACAGACTTCCTGTTCAAAGTAAGCCTGCGTAAGGAGGCGCAGGGAACAGTCACCCACCCTGCTTAGCGCAGGGAGGAAATTCCTCGCATCCTCTGAGGCAAGGAAACAGTGGGATGCAGGGAGCTGGGAAGGGAAGGTGTTGAGCCATGTCCTTTTAAAAAGTGAAAGGCACATATTTCTCTTGATTCCATGCATTTGATCTGCCTTTCAAAGGCAGGCTCTTAAGTAAAACCATTCTCTAAAGTTGTCACCTGTCCCTTTAAAACACACAGTCAAATGGTGGAGGAAAAAGGTTCCCTCCTCCCAAGTAACCCCTGGTACCTCTTTCTGTGTGAATTCTGAAGTTAATTGTTAATCCTGACTCCACTTAGTTGTTACTTAAGTTTTAGTTAAACTGTACCCTCAACATCTGCCTCTTCCTGTATTGACTTCTTGCATGAGCCACCAAGAATTCTCTGGTGAATGCTTATAAGCTACCCAATTTCAATGGCAAGAAGGGCACATGATCTAAAATTAGCTGATGTGATTCCTGAAGTAAAGAACAGTTCTACTCACCAAAGTCTGGAATCACAATTGTCAGTGCTGGCATACTTTATTGTTGTTTTAAAATCTATGTTTCCCACAATATATTGGAAGCCATAGTAACAAAATAATTTCATTTCCCACATTTTGAGTATAAGCCTTGCTCAATAAAAATGTTTCCTGGACTACCTTTTTCACTGATTCTTACAATGATTCTTTGCATTTCCCAAAGTTGAAATGGCCATAATTATGAACATTAGCAGCTGAATAAGGGTGAGCTTAAGGAAGGTCAAAAGGAAAAGCAAACTCATGCTCATTGATCACTTACATCTGTCTTTCTCCTTTCTCTGTATTCTAATCTGTTCCTGCAGATACTAAAGTGCTTTGCACATCAGGGCAAAAAGAATCATTGTACAATAAAGAACACAAGGGCTTTCAGCTTTAATTCTTCTGCAGCCACATTTGGGTGCAGTGTTAGAAAATAGTTAGGAAGAGGTGTTGCAGAAAATGTGAGTCTTGCATCTTTTCCTAAAAATAGCAGTTTATACAGTATCTGTTCTCTGTGTCCCTTTGGGATCATACATGATTACTCAGCTGACAGATTCTCTTAACATTAAAGCCAATTTGCTGTAACAAAAAAAAAAGGGGGGGGCTCTTAAACAACTGAATTTTTTGAGTTAGGATTTTATACTGTATTAATGAAAAGACATAATATAAAAACAAAAGAAAAAATCGGTGGGGGTTGATAGGCTAATAAGCTTATTTGAACTGATGGAAATATTTCTATTCATCCCCTACTAGGAGCTAATCACTAAGAGACCCCATAAAAAAACTCTGCAGTTGCATCATGTGAGCCCACCTTTGGGGAACCCAGGGGCAAATTCATCCCTGTAGATCTTCCGACAACGTGAGGTCACAATTGCCTACAATGACCTTTCTAAAAATAGATCTGTCCAGATGAGGTTCTATGGTCTATGTGGCTAGACATTTCCAGCAGTTGCTGTGCTGGTGTCTGTGGGGCAACAAAGGAACATAAAGCCTTCAGGTTGTGGACTTGATGCTGTGAAACTCACAGCTTCAAACCTACCCCACAACTTGATTTGCACTGGCAAAAGGGATCACAGATTTCCCTCTGTCCCTGCAAAACCTTAAGACCCGTACTCTCCTGAGGTTCTTCCTATGTGATCAGAGATAACTTCTTCGAGGTTATTTTAAATTTTACTTTCCCACATGTGCATGAAATATATATTCCTTCATGATTCCAGGCAGAAATTAGTTAAGCCAGTTAACTGACATTGTGGAAACCAGGAACAAGAGATGAATATTTAAATCTTTTAGCTCTTTACCAAGTATTTTCTGCATAACATATGTGTTTATCTAAATTCTCTAAGGGCAAAATCAGTCTCACCTATAGGCTACGAAATTATAGTTCCACTTTCCTCAAGTTCATCTGAATGGCAACCCACTCATAAATGTGCCGACTTGAGAGAAACAGAGGTCTTTTGCCTTTCCCTCTCTATACTTCTGTATGGTTTGAATTCTTTAAAAGAGTGTACTGCTCCATCACTTGTGTAGTTAAATAAGCATCTTAAAAATCTGAAAAATGAGAACTGTTTAAAAATAAACAAAAATTCTCAGAGACAAATTTGAAAGGATATTAAGTGGTTGTTTATAGCTTCTAGGTCTATAGGTAATTTTCACGTTTTGTACTGTGGTGCAAAGCATCAAATACAAATTATCAATAATTGGCCAGTATTGTTTATGTAATAGAAGAGAAGAATAAAATGCCTGTGTCACAAAAAAAGAAATGAAAGCTTCATGACAACTAAACCTGCTCTTTTAACCCTATCTCATCTTTGTAATAGGTTTTCCCATACAGTTCATATTCATCAATTTTGTCAGAGAGTCACCCCAACGATCAAACATATATATTTGACTCCTAATTTTCTAAATCATCTAGCATGTCATTTTTTTCTTCTTCCAAAGTTCATTTCTAAAGTTTTCTCGTCAAAGACCAGTAATTTTACTCAACTTTCCCTTCGTGGAGATTAGGCCTTCTGGTTCAAAGAAAAGAGAAACACAGTCAGCAATAATTAAGACTAGGAGAAAAGTTACAAAATGATCATTCGTGTTATCCAGGAGTCTAGTGTGTGCCTGAGTATGGGGCGAAGGGAAGCAGGATTTAGGGACAAGTAATTGGAAAGCAGTGGGAAGAAAGGATACAAGGAGAATAAGAAATGCAGAGAGGAGGGGAGATCAGTTAGACTAAACGATGGAATTATCATTTGTATATGTCAAAAGCTTGAATACTGGTAATTTAATATGGCTCAACCAAGTAACTATAACAACAATAATAATAATTCATAATAGAAGGAGTGAAGGAGTGAGGACATCAAAATAAAAGTTTGAAAGTACTTGTTCTACCTGACCCCTGTCTGCTTCAGTGTGTTCCAGAACTGATGAGAATCTTGCAGATAAGGAATTCTACTCTCCACATACCCAATTATCTGTCACGTACTGAGAAGGAGGAAGAGACAAGTACTTCACATATTTACCTTCAAGATGGGAGCCATAAAGACTGATAGACCAGTCAGAATAAACACGAGGGTTCCAGTGACTCTTTGTTCCCTAAAACCAAATCAAATGATTACCAAGTTATCTCTCGTTTTCATAAATAAGCTCCTTGTATTTTCACCTTCAAAAAAGACTGTACATTGGCCAAATTAATGTTTGACTAAAACAGCAAAGGTCTTGATATCTTATATAAGTGAATACCTCGAGGAGAGCATGGAAGCTCAACATAACTATAAAATTCTCTTAAAACTATTGTATAACATGATTTGAATTCCTCAAGAGAAAAGTGATTGTGCTAAATCCTTTGCTCCTTTTAGAATTTAAAAAAAAAAAAAAAGTCACTTGCTCTTGGTCCATCAATTCCTGGCCTCTCTGAAGCCCTTATTTTTTAAACGACTTGTACTGTTGTGTAATTACACCTTCTTTCACAGGAGACAGATATTACATTGTCCTGCATTCTAATTAACAAACAGCTCAGGGAAATTTCATAAGTGCAATAAATCCCATCAATCTAATTTCCAAATCTAAACAACAAGAGTACTTTTTAACAAATAGGATTCCTATCCAACACCCCCTCCCCCAGCCCCCAAGAAAGAATCACCCACTGTTGTGGCGTGGGAAACAATGGCTCTGTCCTACAAGCTATTCACCCAAGCACTGAGAAGCAGGGCTTGCTGCAAAAAGTATTCAACACTGTATGAAGGTCTTATGCAAGCCCTTCCTGGCTGCCCAAATTTAACAGCTAGAGGTCAAGGTTTCTCAGTGCTTATGGGGGCAGAAGAATAACTGGAAAATAGGAATTCCTTTCCCTTTATAGAATCTTCAAAATCATAAGCAGACTCAAGAGTTTTGGGGAGTCTCAACAGAGCTGAAAGGTTAAATGGTTTGGCCTTTACGATGCTTGGGATCAAGTAAGTACAACACCTCAGTGAGCTCCACAGTGAAGAAAATGAATGACTATTTGTGTTTTTACGTTGCATCATTTAGCCTTCATTAATTGAAGGAAATTTATGTAACATAAGAAGTGAACTAGAAAAATTATTGAAGACTCTTCCTAATGAAAATGTAGTCCTTTCTGGAACAGTAACTAAAGGAGTAAGTTAATCACCACCAGCCTTTTCTCCTCCCATTCTGCCCATTTCCTACGAATGACAATATAGATGCAGCATGATGTGTTCCATAGAGCCGTTTTCCTCTGACTTAAACATACCTCACACCTAGAAACTTTGGTTGTTCTCCAGGGGCAGAAGTCTCTGTCTCCATCTTCAAACTGTCGATGTGAGCAATGGAGATGACGGTCGCAGCCACATACCATGGAAGAGCCATGAAAGAGCACACCACCATTAGGATGGCCACCCAGAAGAGATCCAGGTGGTATCCAGCTCCTTTCTGCAGAAAGAGGTAACAAAATCATATGAAAAAAAAAAATCTCATCTTTCTATCTTGTCCTATTTCCAGATGGGAATTAAGATGACCAAAAAAACCCCAACTCACTTGGCTTGCTAAGAATATCTACTTCAAGGTAAATTTTTCAAGGAAAGGGACTTTATCTTCCTCATATTATTCCCCTAAGCAATGAAACACAGAGCTGCCACATGACACCTCCTCTAGCTTGACTGAAGTTCACAGCTTACTTACCATTTGCTTATTGCTAGTTATCCTCTCTCTATCCAATTCTGTAATCAGAAAAATGGAGATAAAGATCTACCTTGAGGAGCTATTGCGATCATTCAGTGCAGTAACAGAGGCAAAGCATCGCATAGGAACTTAAAAGGTAGTGGTTGTTGCATAGTAGGAGCTCAAAAAAATGGTGACAGTAGCAGTGGTGGTGCTGGTGGTTGTTAACAATAAGTGCAATAAACAACTTAGAAGCAGGCAGCAATCCTTCTCTGTGACTGTTTAGCAATAAACTGTTCACCTAGACAGTAGTCAGCATATGCAGACCAGAGATCTGAAAGCAACCCTGAGAAGGTATGCCTAAGACGATTTCTCACCTTTCATAGCATTTGAAAATATTTGTTTAATAACCTATTAAACATGATCATTAAGGTAATTAATACATCTTTAATCAGAATGGGCTGATTTCAAACACTATCCACTGGTCACAATAACATTCATTGACTGGAAGAGCAGCCTATGTAACAAAAGGTCTTGCTCTTTTACTCACTAAATAAATATTGTTAAATGTGTCCACAATGTTATTCTGTGGTTATATTTCTCTGCTCTATTTATGAAGAAATCAAATGCTTAATACCCTATGCAGGCTGAAAAAACAGAGCAGTCCATTTTCACAGCATGGAAGCAGAAGGACCAAGAGCCAGAGTATGACCAATCTGAGGGAATGGAGAGACTCTGGCTTTAAAAAATGAGAATGTAATTTACACTAGAACCCCGGTGACTGTTATCATTCAGGTCCAATTACAGTTAGTTAGAACACGGCTCTCCTCTCTGAAAGGCCAAGATTTCACCCCTGGCTCCCAAACATGGGTCTAATCATGTTCTCAGAGAACTCGTCACAGGCAAGGGCAGCTGACACAAGAAAGAAGAGCACACGTTGACTTAGTCCAGGTTTGACCATGAACAAAAGTATCCTTGGGAGACAAAGGTTGATATATATTCAAAAAGCAGTTCATTTCAATACAAATGGTCTGAAACCACAGGGTCGGAATTGGGAGTGGGATAAGGTAGGGGAAAGGAAGGCAAAGGGTGGGGATGAGCTGAAATAAACTTGTTCAACAATAACTAATGAGCTGAGTATCGTGATATATCTGGCTCTCAGTCATTCCATTCCAACTGGAATAAATACTTGAATAAATACTACTGCCAACTTATTAACAGGCACAGTTAAGGATGTTAATGTCATATCTGTGAATAAAACACAAAAATTCCCATATTCGAGATGTTTCCATTCTACTGAGACAATAAACAACACAAGTAAATAAACTGTAAACTATACAGTATCTTAAATAGTACCAAGTACTAAGTAGAGCTATGAAAATTTGGGTTTGTATGTGGAGTATGACGTGAAGCCACTGGAGTGTTTTAAATGGAGGAGTGACATGACCTGCTTATGTACTAAACACTACAGCTATTGTTTTGGGAACAGCCTGAACAAAGTCAAGGACAGCAAGACCAGTTAGGAGGTTGCTACCATAATTCATGTAAGAAATTGTGATGGTTAGAGCCAGAGTAGTAGCAGTCAAGATGGCAAGAAGTGTTTGGATTCTGACTATACTTTAAGATGGAATCCACAGGATTTGTTCAGTCCTGCCTGTGGATGCGTCTTATGACCTCACTCTAGACCATTCATGATCTGGCCTTTGTTCACATCTGCAGCCCCATCTTTCATCTCTCCCCTGCCGCAATCCTATACCATGGTCACCTTCAATCATACACAATTCCTTCATTCCATGGTATAGATCCTAGAAGTACAATTACAGATAATACACAGTCTTTGTCCTCAAGTGGCTTACAATGTAGTACTAGAGCTAGACAAATCAAGAGGCATTTGCAATACCACAGTATTCTATACTTGGGGTGTGCTTGGGGTGCCATGCAGAAGAGGTATTAAGCCCAAAGTCAAAGATGGTATTCCTAGGAGGTGGTATTTAAGATGAGTCCTAAAATGTGAGCCATAACTGAAGGCAAGATATGGGGAAGCAGGAGGGAAAAAAAAAAAAAGGCAAATAAGCCACCATTTTGAGAAAATAAAATATAGTTGGTGCATAGAAGGAGATGGGAGAGGTAGGAAATAAGGCTATAGAAGTTAAGAACTTTAATGTTTTGCTAAAGACTTCAGAATTTTTATCCTAAGAGCAAAGGGAAACCATTAAAGGCTTTTAAGTAGGTAAGTGATATGATCAGATTTCTATTTAGAAGGACAGCTCTTTGGTTTGTAGAGGATGTACTAGAAGTGGTCAAGACTGGAGGCAGAGAGGACAGACATGACAGCATTGCCATAGTCCAGGCCAGAGCTGACATAGTTCCAACTAAAGTAATAGTATGGAGGAAGGACAATGGACAGATGGGAGAGATTTTAAGGAGACTGAATCCAAAGAAGGAAAGGCCATGAATTCATTTTGCCAAATTTCAATGCTTGAGGCTTATAATGTCTATCTAGTACAGTGTCCTCCAGTGAACACTCGAGACATATTTGTTGACCAGAATGGTAAAAGCTATGCTAAAAAATTCATAGTGTTCCAATGATTGCCATAAAGACTTGGAACCCAAAGGGTTATGTCAGAAAAGTTGTTCCTGCAAAACAAACTTATGTGTATGAAAACAAGCCAACTCTAAAATGTGTCTTTAGCTAAGGGTATCTGAATAACTAGATTTGAATGGAATAAAAACGGTATTCAAATATAGGAACTTTTACTGGAAATAGTACTGTAAGAAATACAGAAAACCGCATTTTTCAAAAATAGCATGTAAGTTGTTCCTTACCCTTCCTCCACATCACCGCTGCCTTTTGCAGATTTTCTTAATGTCCTACTTGGATTATTCAGGGGCCTTCTAACCACTCCCTTTCACCCACCCCCCACTCTGGCACTTCTTCCTTCCACCCTGAATGCTGCTAGAGAGAGTGATTAAATGCGGCATTGGTGCCTTCCATCCAGGCTGGAATGTTGAGGGAGCAGGGAAGGCCAGGAGGAGATGAACAAGTCAAACAGGACAGAACCAGTCATGACAAACACCTGGCTGGCTGGCCATGCTGAGATGCTCCCCACCCAATACTATGACAGGGGCCCTCAAAGATTCCTGAAGCTTCATCATTCATCAAACAGGACTTGCACATTCTGCACCATTCATCAAACTGGTCCCCTGTTTCTATTTCTGTTCTCTCTCTTCAAGGTCCAGCTTAAATTCCCCTGCTTCCTTGACATCACTAAGCAACCCCTGACCCTCAATGCCATCCTCACCATAGAAGTCTCTGCTTCACTCCTGTCCCTGACAGCCCACTCTCCTTGCAGAGTAATCTTTTAAAAATCTCAATTATTATATGGCACTTCCTTGCTCAAAACCCTCCAGCAGCTTCCTGTTTCCACCTAATATAAAACACAGTAAAGTCATCTAAAAGGTTCCATATCAGTGTTTTTCCTGGAACTATTTTGCACCCCTCCCCATAAGGGAACACTTGTCAATGTCTAGAAACATTTTTGTTTGTCACAACTTAGGGGAAAGGGTCCAAGTGACATCAAGGGGGTAGAGACCAGAGATGCTGCTAAATAGCCTACAATACACAGGACAGCCACAACCAACAAAGAAATGCAGCTGAGAACCTTTGTTCTACATGATCTGGCCCCACTCCCTTTGACTTCATCACGCATCACTAATTTCCCTGTGTTCCAGTCACACTGGTCTGTTATTTGTTCTTCAATATACCAACATACCCTCCCACCCTAGGTCCTTTGCATTTGTTCATACCTTTGCTTAGAAAACTGTTACTTAATAAACACCCACTGAACACCCTATACTATGTTAGGCCTTGTGTTAGATAAAATAATAAGACAGAACATGTGCCCCTAAGGGGTTGGTAGGTTATTAGTTGAAGCCAGATGTAGAAGCAAATAATTTATTATATGTGCAAGATACAAGGCACAAAGAACGCCAAGTCAATCCCAACCTTAGTGGTAGAGTTAAGTGGTCAATAAGGAAAATCCACCAAACTCCTTTAGGGCTGAGACCATAACTTAGAAGAACAATTTTTATCTTCAATATCTAACACAAGTGTTCCATACATAGCAAGGACTCAAAAAAATGTCCAAAGGTTATGTATGTCCTTTAAAGTTTAATAAAGTCCTATCTTCATGAATATAAATGCAAAGGATAGCCTACTTTCTGAATCTTGATATTGTTTTAAGTAGGACAGGAAGTAAAATTTTACTTCCTTTTGATACTATATGCTTCACTAGTACAGAACAAAAGTCAATTGGAATAAATCCACAGAAATCAAAATCTATGGGAGAAAAAGACTAGTCTAGCAGTCTAAAGTTTACATCTGGTAAGTAGATGATAGCAAAGGTCAGGAGAAGTGCACACACACATGCAGAGACACAGAATAAATATTCATGCTAGGAGCCCCCGATGGTCCAGACAATAAGCTGGTTTATGGGGACACCAAGAACCATGACGTAGTTCCTCCCCACAAGGAGCTCACAATCAGATGAGAGGACTCAGATTTGTACACAAATTATAAAGCACTCTAAACAGCGATTCAAAGAGGTTTGAAAGAGACACCCAAAGTACAGGGGATAAACTGTTTAACAATGTCTAGAGTGAACCTGCAAAAACTTCCCACTGTGATGACATCTAAACAAGGCTTTGAATAATATGAGCTCTCACGGTGAGAACTGGCGATGGGGTGGCAAGCTTTTCCACTATCACCCATC